ACCTGTTGTATTGGAATCTATCTAACTAAATTCTGTTGCTTGCTTGTACGGATGTATGTATATATGTTTGTGTGTCTATACCAAGAACAAGACAATATTTCCCTGCGCTACAAATTACAAAAAATTTCAAGTAAGACAAGCTTAAAATACCGCCCAGTAATATACATGTCTGTCCTTCTGGTCTATATATATTTACGTTTTTCTCCGTGAAGTATTTCATTACATAAATATACATATAATCATGGAGTTTGATAAGTGGAAACATTTTAATTACATTAAAAATTAATATATATATCGTTGGTATAATGCTGGCCACTGTGCCAGAGTTGCAAATGAGGGGAATGAAGAGGCAAACTTCACACTCTGGGCATCACCTTCATTTCCAATATAGTGTCTGGAAACCCCCAGTTGGAGCATGGGGACATTATAATCGCCGTTCGGTTTCTGCCAAATGCATTAAATATTAAATTAAATACCAAAAGCTGTATACTATATCTTACAGAACATTCCAAGAAAAAGTTCAATGGGGAGCTGTTAATGCCATAGTTAAAAGAGATAAAGTATGGCAACGGCGGCGTTAATGGTGTCTCAAGATAACTACCCAAGAAGGACCAGTTGCTTATTAAAACATCTTCATACGGCTGAATGAATAGTCTCATTTGAGGGGGACCCTCCAAATTGAACTCAAATCGGACCGTGGTAGAATTAAGTACGGTTTTGTTTAGCATCTCCAATGTTGTTAATGCTGGTGGTTCAATAGGTTCCAAACGTGGCAACCATTTGGCTTGAAGTCGATTCAGAACGTAGCTTGAATCATATAATGGCATGCCGCACATCATATGCTGCTCACATTTCGATTTAATGCTAACCAAGCCGGTCAGATTTACGTTTGTGCCCAAGAGGGGTTTTTCTTCCCGACGATCCTGAAAATTAAAAAGGTAGCCAGACTCGTCCTTACTGACAGTACCATCATACTCGTAGAATATATTTCGCACTTGCTGGAATGGCAATTGGGTAAAATATAAGAAGTTAGTAAATAAATCGGGATACTCACTAGATATGCGACTCGCTGCACGTTGGTTTTAGGCCGGTATGGAAATCCTATTTGGGTGCTACTGGCCAAGTACATTGAAAGGGCAGCGATAATAAACAGAGTGAAAATTACAATGCTGGGTCGGCGAAAAGTGTTGATTAGCGGAATCTGGGAACAACAATAATAATAGCTGATAAACATGAAAACAAAGAACTCATTAAGTTCACTTACCAAAAAGCCAAACGAAAGAACTGTTCCCGCCGCTGACAAGAAAGCAATACTCAAGTCCGGATTTGATGAACTAAATGAACGACCACCCATTGGAGTTAGAACCACAACAAAGAAATAGAAGAGGTAGCTGCTGTATAAGAACGGAATAATTTGGCTTGCCTTAAGCAGACCCGTCCAGGCATAGCCACGATCGTGCAGAGTAGTCAATAAATTAAAGGCCAAAGATAACACGTAGAAAATTAGTGGAATAACGAAAATATATGCAGAACGCAATCCAAATAATGTAAGACCAATAGTTAAAAGAGCCAGTATCACGGCCTGAGCATGCAATGCTAGTTGGAGATGGTACGCAGTTGATATTTTATCCTGGGGATGGAAAATTCATTATAAAATGGGACCAACTATATACGATATTATCAACTTACGTTGCCTTGGAGATTATAGTATATTGTTAAAGGCAAACTGAGGCCAATGAGTGAGGGACACACGTAAAGACCGATCATTAACAACGGACTGCTGTAGTAAGACATCGATAGTTCCAAATTGTCAAATACATATGCCACCACTATAGGAAGAGCCAGTCCAAGTACAAAGGAAATAGCCTGGACGATTAGGACCAATATAAACCAGTGTACAATGCGCGAAATGGATAAGTCGGAAAGAGCTGACATGCGCCACATTGAGACGAAAACCAAAATTAGGGAAACTCCGGCAATGCAAAAGTTTAAACAGATTCCTATAGTCTCCGAATAATGGATGAAGTAGAGTCCCAGGAAATCGAAGAAGACAGCGTGTCCCGTTTTGTGAGCCTAAGAGTTAAAAATGATTAGTGTGTAGGAGCTTTATACCACAATTTTGAAATACCTCTGTATCATATAATTCGGTTGCATTCGCCAAACCTCGAACCAAACTAAGAATATTGTCGCCTGTGTTCTGCAGGGATGCAAGAGGAATTATGTCGATCACGTCGTACTTTGTATGGTACACAAATCCATTTATACATTGGGCCATGTCCAAACCTATGTAAATGATATGTGGCATTTAATGGGATCAGACGACTATAGTTTTAAGCTACCCTATGAAGTATGGGTAGACTTAGTAAAGAAAGTTCAATTTACCTGGTAGATTGCCATACATGTTAAATTGACGAAAATCTGTGTCCGATGGTATTGTGCCTGATTGGAAACCTTCCTCAGCCATAGTTGTAGCGAATGGATATTTAATAAATCTTTTGTAGTACTGTAATATTATTGTTGTTCAATGGTATTTACGGCTCGTGGTATTTCCTTAGATAACTTACTTTCACGAGCCAAGGATGATCGGGACCACTTTGGAATAGAACTTCCCGACCTCCACTACCGCCAGCATCAAGATTAACGACGGCTCTACGATTTTTATGAATATGTTTTAATTATTGTTCAACAGCGAAGGCGATCTTTTTAACGTACTTGCAGTGTGACGCCCATTTGTGGTGAGTTATAAAACCATGTGAAGCCTCCAAAGCGCCTTCTTCAGCTCCATTGAATAGAAAGACGACTGGATGCTGGATAATTTGTTTTGTTGTCGCAATTACACGCAAGACTTCTAACATCGTGACTATCATAAAACCTGCATCACCGGCAGAGGGAGTACCTGGCTTCGAGTCAAAGTGACTGTTGACGAGCAGATAGGACTCGCTTGTGGTGTTTTTAGGTGTTAATTTCACAGCAATATTTTGAACTCCCTGGTACATCCTAAGTGAAGTTTTTAATGCGAATGCGCCAGATACTTGCGATAAGTCAATATCGATATCAAAGTAATCTTTCAGCGAATCTTCCTTAATCTGGTTCAGCTCCTTAAGAAGATATTGTACAGCCTCAATCTCATTTTCTTTACTGCCAAGCATTTTGGCCCCTATATTAGACAAAGTGTACAGTTTTTTGTACGCACGTTCCGCTATGAATTCACATTTGTTTGCGTCCTCCATTGTAAGAGCCGTGGGTAACCGATAGAAAAAGGGTATTACTATTGCAAAAAAGAGGAGTCCCCAAAATAGCAGAAAACCACTCGCAAAGTACCAAGGTACTTTTGCATTCGCTTCATTTTTGACAGCATTTGCAGGAGCTTCGACGGATTCGTTCAATATCTGCATAATTTAATAATTGAGAATTGAAAATGTAAGCGATAAATTGTGTTGCTTACTAGTTTCTCCTTTTCGCCCATTCTGTCTTAAAAAATTAAACCGATCTATTGAAGTTAGTCCGACGATTTCCTACCAATAACTGCTAAGCCAAAGTAAATGAAGGCTGCTTTAAAGTGGTCAGGAACGTTATCTTTTTAATACTTCTGTGAAATATAATAGCTATTAACTTATAATATTGACTTCCAGTTTTTGTTTTCGAGGGCTGTTCGTGAGCATCTTGCGAATACAGAAAAATAATAGTAAGAAATAATAGTAATTAATAACCGTTAAATTAACTCATTGGGAATTATTACAATTAATTAATATGATAACCATATAAAATAATTGACAATAATGCTTTCTAAGAATCGCATAATTGTGATTAAGGTAAACCATTCCCAAAAGACTTGCAACTCATTGAACTTCCTGTTAACAATGGATTTATTGTTTAATAGTCGATATAAATAAATGCCAAAAAATTGTATTGGATCATTAATATTATATTTGTGTATTGTATATTGTTCTTATATATTTTCTTAAACTGTTTTATTATTTAATTTATGTACTGTTTAACAGGGCGCACAGTACGCTGCTCTTCCTATTAGCATATAAGTGGCGTTAGCAGAAGAGCTATCAATATTATTTGTTTAAATTGGTTTAACAAAAATCTGAGAAAGTTGACTTTGTTTTGACTCATTTGACGCAACGGAGCTTACTATACTTGGTATATAAAGCAATCTTGGCTACAAGCCTAGAAAAAATCGGCTTATAGTTCGAGCCAATGTACTTGTTATTAAAACTTAAATAATACAGTATTATAACCCACATAATTTCAAATATATATACTGGCGGGTATAACCCGGCTTTGCCCGTGGCTCGTATAAAATAAATTTCTCAAAAAGCTTTGAAAATTATTTTGAAACTGATCGGATGGTAAACAAATAGCTTTCATACAATCGTCTTCCACCAATTTACCACTGTTTCGGATGGAATTTCCCAAATCGCAGAAATACGTATTTATTAATTTCTTATGTAGAGCTTTGAAAATATGTTTGAAGCAAATCGAACACAACTTAAAACTTCGCCCAAAAAATCTTTAAATCGCATTCCCCCGAAGAAGTTTGAATTGTGCGAAAAGTGTGAAACACGTCTAAAATGATTTTCTTATAGATTTTTGGAAATAAATTTGAGCGCGAAACGTCACCCACCAAATCTTTGACCTCCATTTCCACCAGGGAGGAACGAATTTTTTGGAAAAGTGTGAAACACCCTCAAATGAATTTGAACAAAGATCTTTGAAAATAAGTTTGAGGCCGATCAGATGGTAAACAAAAAAGTTACATGCAAACGTTTTTCGCGATTTTTTCCACACTTGCGGGTGGAATTTCCCGAAACCCTGTCTTAACGTGCACCTACATCAGATTAGGTAACTCAGTCAGTCAGTCAGTCAGTCAGTCAGGACAAACAGTTTTATATAATATATATTAATATATTATTATATGTATATGTATTTGTATATGTATATATTTAAATACGGTATAGTTCGGTCTTAGCTGTTCAAGAGTCAAGTATATGTTAGAGCTTCAGATTCGAACCGGCTTGCAGCCTTGATAAGAATATTTTTGTTAATTCAGAAAATGTATCTTTGGTATAATGCGGGCCACTGCACCAGAATTGCATATGAAGGGAATGAAGACGCGAACTTCACGCTTTGGGCATCACCTTCATTTGTAATATAATGTCTTGACACTCCCAATTGAAATAATGGCACGTTGAAATTACCATTTGGTTTCTAAAAATGATAAGTATATTTAAATTGAAATATGAAATTTTCGAATTATATCTCACCGTTAATTCCAAGAAGAAGTTTATTGGAGAGCTATCAATGCCGTATGTAAAAAATATTGAATAGGGTAGCTGGGAAGCTGATGGCACCTGACCGTCGCTCACGAATGACCATTTACTTAACGTCACATCTTCATAGGGTTCAATAAACAAACTCATGTGCGAGGGGCCTGTCAAATTGAATTCGAAGCGCACAGTTGTGGCGTTGACAGCTGTTTTGCTTAACCTCTGCAATGCGGTCGATGCTGGGGTTTCGATGGGTTCAGATCGTGGCAACCATTTATTTTGAAGTCGATGCTGAATATATCCATAACTATACAAGGGCATGCCACACATCATGTGGGTCTCACACTTTGATTTCATGCTAACCAATCCAGTCAGATTGACATTTGTACCCAAGAGTGGCTTTTCTTCACGCCGATCCATAAAATTAAACAGATAGCCCGACTCGTCCTTACTAAGAGTGCCATCGTACTCGTAGAACATATTTCGCACTTGCTGAAATGGTGGCAATTCTTATTTTAGGAATAAATAGCCCTCAGTACGCTTTAAAGGACACTTACCAGATAGGCAATCCGCTGTCCGTTGGTCTTCGGTCGATACGGGAATCCTATTTGTGTACTACTTGCTAAGTACATAGCGACGGCTGTGATTGCAAGCAGAGAGAACACCACAAAACTGGGTCGTCGGAAAGCATTGATTAGCGGGATCTGTGTTAATAACAAAACGCATAAGGATATTTCGATAGGAGTCGTTGCGCAGACTTACCAAGAAACCAAATGATAGAACCGTTCCTGCTGCTGCCAGGACAGCAATATATAAGTCCCGATTGGAGGAACTACCCGCACGCCCACCCATAGGCGTAAGCGCTACAACGAATATATAAAAGAGGTAGCTGCTGTAGAGGAAAGGAATTATCTGGCTTGCCTTAAGCAGACCCGTCCAGGCATAGCCACGATCATGCAGAGTGGTCAATAAATTTAAGGCCAAAGATAACACGTAGAAAATTAGTGGAATAACGAATATATATGCAGAACGCAATCCAAATAATGTAAGACCAATAGTTAAAAGAGCCAGTATCACGGCCTGAGCATGCAATGCTAGTTGGAGATGGTAGGCAGTTGATATTTTATCCTGGGGATGGAAAATTCATTATAAAATGGGACCAACTATATACGAGATTATCAACTTACGTTGCCTTGGAGATTATAGTATATTGTTAATGGCAAACTGAGGCCAATTAGTGAGGGACACACGTAAAGACCAATCACTAACATTGGAGTACTATAGTAAGTGAGCGATAGTTCCAAATTATCAAATACATATGCCACCACTATAGGAAGAGCCAGTCCAAGTACAAAAGAAATAATTTGGATGATCATGACCAATATAAACCAGCGCACCACGTGGCATATGGAAACGCGGGAAATAGCTGCCATACGCCACATTGAAACAATAATGAAAATCAGGGCAGCTCCAGCAACGCCGAAATTCAAACATGTTCCTGTAGCCTCTGAATACTGGACGAAGTAGAGTCCCAGAAAATCAAAAAAAACAGCGTTTCCACTCTTATATGCCTGTGAGTTAAAAATTACAAATGTGAGTATAAAATCAATCTACATTTTCGGGAATCTGGCTTATACCTCTGTATCTCGCAATTCAGTTGCGTTCGCTAAACCACGAACCAAACCTAGAATATTATCCCCTGTGTTCTGCAAGGCTTCGCGAGGAATTACATCGATGACGTCATATTTTGTATGGTATACGTATCCATTAATAAATTGAGCCATGTCCAAACCTGTGTTGAGTGATTTGTTTTGCCGACATTCTTTACAATTCGGAAGCTCAATAACACTTACCTGGGATGTTGCCATACGATTTAAACTGTCGAAAATCGGTATCCGATGGAATAATGCCTGATTGGAAGATTTCCTCAGCCATCGTAGTAGCGAACGGATATTTGATATATTCTTTGTAATACTGTTGAGTAGTTTCAATGTTTATATAATAAAAAAAAAAGAGGTTGTAAGTTTAAAGACTTACTTTTACAAGCCAAGGATGATTGGGACCACTTTGGAATAGAACTTCCCGACCTCCACTACCAGCAGCGTCCAGGTTAACGACAGCTCTACAATTATAGTTGAGAATAACTCAAATTTATATAAAAGGAAATGCGATTTCCGGAAACTTTTAGACCTTACTTGCAATATGGCGCCCATTTGTGCTGTGTTATAAATCCATGTGAAGCTTGCAAATTGCCTTCTTCAGATCCATTAAATAGAAAGACGATTGGATGTTCAAATGCTTGCTTTGTTGTTGCAATGACACGCAGGACTTCCAACATTGTGACAATCATAAAACCTGCATCTCCGGCAGATGGAGTAAACGGCTTGGAGTCAAAGTGACTGTTAACTAGAAGGTAGGAGTCGCTCTTTGTACTTTTTGGCGTTAGCTTAACAACTATATTTTGAATGCCTTGATATACGTCAAATGTACTACCAGATCCCAGAACTCCAGAAACTTTCGATAAGTCAATTTCCATCTCAAAAAATTCCCCTAGCATATCTTCCTTTATTTGTGTCAACTCGTTTAGAATAAAGTTTACTGCCTCAACCTCATTTTCCTTACTGCCAGTCAATTTGGTACCAATATTAGACAGAGTGTAGAGGTTTTTGTACGCCCGTTCCGCAATGAACACATTTTCCTCTGCATCTTCTATTGTTAAAGCCGTCGGTAACCGATAGAAGAATGGTATCATGACGGCGAAAAATAGGAGAACCCAGAACAACAGAAACCCACTTGCAAAGTACCAAGGTACTTTTAGGGATGCGTCCTTCTTAAGCACATTTCCAGATGCTTCGACAGACTCATACGAAATCTATGAAATGCAGGTAATTGAAATATTGAGTGGATTTGCACATTCTTGGAAGCTTTTTAGATCTTACAAGTTTTTCCTTGGGAGCCATATCGTTTTTTTTTTTTCTTTTGGGGATATTCTAGTCTGCTGCAGTGAAACCCAGTTCGACAACTAAAAACTGCCAGGCAAAAGTAAGTGCTGATCGCATTTATATTCAAAGAACAATAAAAAACATAATGTCTGGATTGTAAAATACCCGCGTGTATAAATATATTTATCGTGCCAATCTATTCATTGGCATGAAAGAGTCACAATAAAATGATAAATATGAATATAACAGCTTGATTTTCATAATTTTCAGTGTATTGACTTTAACATACCCATTGGCAGCTACTTTCACCGTAAGAGATAACAGATTGATAAACTCTCAGAGTATTACGACAGATGTATTACTAGCTACACAATGTATCAGAGTAGGTACCTATTGAAAATAGGTCGTAAAAATGTTTGTTTATGTAAAAGCCCTTTGTAATTGTTTGCCGTTTGTCTTGTTAAAATTTGGATTGGGGTAAAACTACGAGCGGGGCTTACAGTAAAGGTAAATTAACCTGATCGACTTGTGCTGATCGAAAATTAAAATTGTTGAATATCTACGTCTAAGTGGATAAATATAGAAAAATGTTTCAAAATTAAACACGACACGCGCCAAACTATACCCGAAACCTCAACTGGGGAATTTCTTATCAAAATACCAATTTTTATTTCCTGATAGATTTATGGGTTAATAGCTTGTTCATGTATATGAAATGATTTTATTATGCCGATAACAAGCAATATCGAAAATGTATAGTGTAAAGAAATTATGCTCCTTTGGGTAACTAGATTGTTCTTATATAAAATTCGGAATCGAGTGATTTCTCGTCTTTGGCCAAGTTTGAAAGTCCAAAAAACTCTTGACTACTTAGTGAATCGTACAGAGGTTTAGTATTCTGTAACTGACGCTCAATGAAATCGGAAGTGCTTAAAAATCGCTCGTTGTATCTTCGATATAGCAATTATAATAATTTAAATACATAGAATAATTTTAAATAGTCAATAAATGAGTAATTAGAGATTCTCTACATTACTTTTTAGCCGCGATGATACCAAGGATACTCCGGTATAAAATCTCTACACGCCAACATGGACCGTCACATCTGTCAGCTAATCAAGGCTCACTAGAATATAATGGCTTGAATTATGAAAACTGAAAAGGCGACACCAATAATGTGTAGCAGTCCTATCTCCCATCTACTGTATGGGCTATTACCAACAACCCGAAAGAGATGGCAATTTAATTGAAAAGTTTAATTTAACATTTGTGAACACGTCGCGGAGTTCGCAATGCTCTTTAACAAATACGACCAATTCGCCAAGGAATACAATTTCATCTCTCAATTTGGTAAGTTCCCAATCAAATAAATACCGCATACATTTTAGGGCAGTTTTTAATGTAAAGCAATGACGTTGACATGCAAAGCAGACTAAAGTGTTCAAAATATAAATGAGATTATATAAAACTTATAACCAGTGTGCCGGTTAATTGTCCATTTTCTCCCAAACATTTTTGACTATGATAGGAAAATAGTTTGATGAACAAATTTTAAAACTTAAATCTCTTCACAAAGATAAACATGTTCTAACAATTTTACAATTTTCATCGCCGAAGAACAGGTCAAAATTCTGGTACATAACTTTTTTATTCCAATTTTTAATAAGGATACAAATACTTAAAATTATTTTAAAAATTTTCAATTCCATTTTCGATAACTATATTTTTCAGTCTAAGGTGTACTGCCTTTTAAGCATAATAAGAAAACAATTTTTAATTTCTAAAACTTGTGTTAAAAAGATATTTATAATTTAAAAAATAACCTTAAATTATTTTTACAATACTTTTTTAATTTAAAATATGTATCTGTAATAAGAGGATGGCCAAGTGGCAAGAATCGCATAGGAGGGGAATTGAGATGCAAACTTCACACTGTCTGCGTCGCCCTTATTTCCAACAAAATGTCCCTGCACACCAAGTTGAAATAGGGGTACCTTAAAGTCTCCATTCCGTTTCTAAAGTAAATGGATGGAAATATAAACAGACTTACTAAAGTTATACTTTAAAATATCTTACTGAAATTTCCACGAAAAAGCTTAAAGGTGATTTATCAATGCCGTAATTGAAGAATATATGGTACGACAATGGAAAAGATGGGGGATTCTGAAGATAGCTTTGTAGAAACGACCAGTTGCTAATTGTCACATCTTCATAGGGTTCAAAAAAGAGACTCATTTGAGGGGGGCCTATTAAACTAAACTCAAATCGCACAGTGGTTGAATTAAGAACAGTCTTGCTCAGCACATTCAATGTGGTCAATCCCGGTGGTACAATGGGTTCAGAACGTGGCAACCATTTACTTTGCAGCCGGTTATCAACGTAGCGAAAATCATACAAAGGCATTCCACACATCATATGCTTCTCGCATCTCGATTTAATGCTAACCAATCCAGTCAGATTGACGTTTGAGCCCAAGAACGGTTTTTCTTCACGTCGATCTTGAAAACTAAATAGATAACCAGATTCGTCCTTACTGAGAGTTCCATCGTACTCGTAGAACATGTTTCGCACTTGCTGGAATTAAAAGGGCATTCATAGGATCACGAACTAAATAAGTAAAACCAATGGGAGCCTAACCAGGTATGCAACTCGTTGTCCATTGGTCCGTGGCCGATAGGGAAACCCGATTTGTGTGCTACTTGCTAAGTACATAGCGATGGCTGTGATTGCAAGCAGAGAGAACACCACAAAACTGGGTCGTCGGAAAGTATTGATAAGAGGGATCTGTGTTATCAAAAAAAAATTAAAAGCATATTTAGTAGAGGGCTCGCTACGCAGACTTACCAAGAAACCAAACGAGAGGACAGTTCCTATAGCTGCCAGGGCTGCAATATATAAGTCCTGATTGGATGCACTACCCGATCGGCCAGTCATTGGTGTAATTACCACCACGAATAGATAGAAAAGGTAGCTGCTGTAGAGGAAAGGAATTATCTGGCTTGCCTTAAGCAGACCTGTCCAGGCATAGCCACGATCGTGCAGAGTAGTCAATAAATTCAAGACCAAGGATGCAACATAGAAAACAAGTGGTATTACGAAAATATAAGAGGAACGCAAGCCAAATGATGTAAGACAAATGGCTAGAAAAGCTAGGATAACAGCCTGAGCATGCAGCACCAGTTGGAGATGATAAGCTGTTGAGATTTTATCCTGGAAAGGGACAATTTATTAGAAAACGTGCGACTTCCTCCCTACAAGATCAGAAACTTACATTGCACTGGATACTGTAGTATGCAGTTATGGGCAAACTAAGGCCAATGAGTGAGGGGCACACATAAAGACCAATCACCAGTAACGGGGTGCTATAGTAAGTCAGCGATAGTCCCAAATTGTCAAACACATTTGATACCACAATAGGAAGAGCCAGTCCGAGTACAAAGGAGATAACCTGGATGATTAGGACCAATATAAACCAGCACACCACGTCGCATATGGAAACGTGGGAAACAGCTGCCATGCGCCACATTGAAATGAAAACTAAAATCAATGCAGCTCCGGCGACGCCATAGTTCAACGATATTCCCGTAGCCTCTGAATAGTGTACAAAATAGATTCCTAGAAAGTCAAAGAACACAGCGTGTCCACTCTTATGAGCCTGTGAATGAAATTAAACAAGAAGGAATACAATTTAGTGCTAACATTTTGAGATTCTATCAAATACTTCTGTGTCGTGTAATTCGGTTGCATTAGCCAATCCTCGAACCAGACTAAGGACATTGTCACCGGTGTTCTGCAAGGATTCTCGAGGAATAACGTCGATCACGTCGTATTTGGTATGGTATACGAAACCGTTGTAGCATTGACCCATGTCTAAGCCTATATCATACATATCAAAGGTTAACTTTGTTAGCACGCCTTCGTGATCCATTCTCTACGTACCTGGAATGTGCTCTTTAAAAATCGTAAAGTCCGAATCAGAAGGCAGCGCACCAGACTGGTAAATTTCCTCGGCCAATGTTGTGCCAAAGGGATGTTTGGCAAACTTATTATAATACTGCAATTAAACAGAGAATCTTGGTACGAAGGTATAATGATTTTTTAATTGTCTTACGTCTACAAGCCAAGAATAGTTGGGGCCACTCTGGAAGAGTAATTCTCGCCCTCCACTTCCAGCAGCATCAAGATTAACGACGGCTCTGTAAATATATTAGTTCAATATGTAATAAAATTATAAATGAATTCCATAAAATATAGCTCACTTGAGGTGTGGCGCCCATCTGTGTTGATTTATGAAGCCATGTGAGGCTAGCATAGAACTTTCCTCAGCCCCATTGAACAAAAAGACTATAGGATGTTCAAAGGTTTGCTTTGTATTTGCCAACACACGTAAAACTTCTAGCATCGTGACAATCATAAAACCTGCATCGCCGGCAGACGGAGTTTCTGGCTTGGAATCATAGTGGCTGTTAACAAGGAGATACGATTCGCTCTTGCTGTTTTTTGGAGCTATTTTCACAGCAATATTTTGAACTCCTTGATACAAGATAATCAGATCTGCATATTTAAATTGACCGGAGACTTCAGATAAGTCAATTTCAATATCGAAGTAATCTTTTAGTGATTCATCTTTAATTTGGTTAAGCTCCTTCAGAAGATACTGTACAGCCTCAACCTCGTTTTCCTTAGAACCGACCATTTTGGTACCAATATTTGACAGATGGTAAAGATTTTGGTACGCACGTTCCGCTATAAATTCATTTGTGTGTGCGTCCTCTACCGTTCGGGCCGTGGGTAACCGATAGAAGAATGGTATCACGACGGCAAAAAAGAGGAGCCCCCAAAAAAGTAGAAATCCACTTGCAAAGTACCAGGGTAACTTTCTGTTCTGTTCATTTTTAGCTCCGTTTCGGGGGTTATCCACAAATCGTTGGCCAGACTCATGGCAAATCTGTAATATATAAATATAAAAATTAATAGAGTCGAATTGTTTAATTAATCAGTTGTATTTACAAGCTTAT